CAGTACTAAAAGCATTACCAGGATGTTCAGCATTTTTTAACAATTTCTGTTGCCATTTATAACCAATCGAATGTTACAATTAATTTAGTAAAATAATTTGTAATACTTGATATGAATAAAATTTGTTGAGAATGTTTTCATGTACAATAAGATATTTTTTGAAACAAACATTTATTTTCGTTATTCAATGAATGTTGACATTTACCTGAAGTGAATCACTTTACACCCTGGTAAATGTCACTTTCCATAAAAAGCCAGAAATATGTTTCTTTCAAGCTTACTGTAGGTTTGAAATATCAACATATTATATAAATATACCCGGTGGACAACAGCCCATAACTTAGCATTTTCAACACAAATGACTTTAAAAAAAATTTTAATGTAGTTCAAAATATTGATAAAATAATGTCAAGTTTGATCAAATTCTAATCAACTTGTTCCACTTAAAAAAAAATATGAGAAATGCTTGAAAATCAGCCTCCTAATGTGGTTTCCCCCCTTAAATATTATTATGTATGTACATTAGTAAACAGTTTTAAAACAAAACAATAAAAATTTAACCTTGAGTTGACGTATTACTAACGTAATTTACTAAAACCTGTAAGATCACTTTCGGGACTTTCTTGACGTATTTTCCGAACAGAAAGTATATTTGAAAATCTCTCAACTTCAAGTCATGGAAATATGCTGTGGAGTTTTCGTAATGAGCTTCATTAAATTTTTTTACCTGCAAAATTTTTAAAAGTATGCAGCAGATTTCCACTAAAATAGCCTCATTGCAAAAAGTTCTTAAACAGTTTCTTTTTCGAAATATCAAGAAGTGGTTACCACCGGCTCATAAATTATTTAAATACTGCCAACGAAAGCCTGGAAACCGACCTAACATATACAGGGTGATTCACAACTTATCCAAAAAAAATTGGGAAGAGATGCGGCATGAGAAATGGAGTCAATATTGTAAAAATTTTTGTAAAATCCTTATAGTTTCTGAGAAAAAAATTATTGAAGTTATAGCACATTGAACCACTACATAGCTGGACAACTGTAGTCTCTAGCGTCATTCGCAATACGCGTGGAGAGCCATGTGACTCCTAATACTGAAATCCGTCGTTGCGGTAGTTTTTACCTGTTATCTGTGGTATTTACATCAGTTTTTTAGTAGTTAGTGTCAAAAATGGCTTGCGTGTATAGCAACTCAGAGTTGATGGATATCGTTTTAATTTATGGTGAAGCAAGACAACATTTGT